TTAGGAATCTCATTGCCTAAATACCTCCATCAATTTTTTTCATTTTCCTTTGTTTCCAGATCAATGACTTCAAGACTGTAAAAGCTAAAGAAGAGTAGCCAAGCCTCATTTTTCATGTCTTTCCATTATTCCCCACTTGCTCAAGTCACTCTGTTGAATTGAATTATGAATTATACTTCTCAGTCTAGGGATCATTTATCGTGAAGAATATCACTGAGGAATAAAAAGTGCCTTAAAAATATTTTTTGTCAATAAATGGGCAGCTCCTGTCTAGAGGGGAGATGAGAAGGCAGAAAAGGGTCAGGAGCTGGTTGAATGGGCACAGGAAATCTGGGGTGGGAGGGAGGAGTGTGCTGTCACAGTATAGGGAGAGCAATTAGGGTCACATAACAATATATGTATAAATTTTTGTATGAGAGACTAACTTGAATTGTAAACTTTCACTTAAAGCAAAAAAATAAAAAATTTTTTTCATCAAGAAAAAAATTTATTAAATAGATTTATATGAAATATAAAAGGGACCACAATATCGTGCTACATAATGCTATTTACAAAATTCACTCTAAATTTTGTGGCCTGAAAGCATGTTACAGAGATTAAATGTCGCCTGTATTTCTTATCAAACCAAGCAAGTTCTCTCTCTGTTTTGACTTGTCTCTTAATCAATGGGGAGTGCTGGTGGTGCAGTGGTTCAGTGCTTGGCTGCTAACTGAAAGGTTGGCAGTTTGAACCCGCCAGCCGCTCCTTGAGAGAAAGATGAGGCAGTCTGCTCCCGTAAAGATTACAGCCTCGGAAACCCTCTGGGGGCAGTTCTACTCTGTCTTGCATGGTCGCTATGAGTTGGATTGACTCAAAGACAAGGGGTTTTTTAATCAATGACCCTCTTCTCAGAGGATTGTCCTACCTGCCTTAAAAGCATTTCATTGTTTACAAGAACCAAGCATCTTCATTGTCTTGATTTTCTTATCTCTCGGTATTATATGTTACATGCTTTTCTTGTGCAGCTTGGCTTTTTGTCAGATGTTTCCGCAGAGGTGCAGTTTTCTGTTAGAATGCAGAGTTCTCTTTCCTATAATTAGTTACCATTCTTACTCTTACCTAATTACTGGGACAAAGTTTCGTTTTTTTGTAAAACAATAGTTTCCAAAATTTGATGGTGCTTTTGTAACGGCAACAGTGTGGATGGAAGTAACTCCCAGCTAGGTATGTAGATATATTTCCCCACATACAAGTGTCTGTGTTCATATTTATACACACACATGTGCTTGCGTTTTGGAGCTACCTAAAACCCAAAAAACCACACTTGTTGCCGTCAAGTCAATTCCGACTCATAGCAACCCTACAGGACAGAGTAGAACCGCCTCACAGGGTTTCCAAGGAGCAGCTAGTGGATTCGAACTGCCGACCTTTTGGTTAGCAGCCGAGCTCTTAACCACTGCACCACCAGGGCTCCCTAGCTGTAGAAAATTAGTGTTAATGTATAATAAAGGTCAAAGGAATAAAAGATCAAAGGAATAAGCTGTGCAAATGAGAAAAATAAAATGTACAGATTGGCATAACTAAATAAGGAAAATGGGTAACAGGTACTAAAAATAAATACCCATTAAACTCATTGCCATTGAGTCAATTCTGACTAACTGAGACCCTATAGGACAGAGTAGAACTACCCATAAGGTTTCCAAGGCTGTAATCTTTACGGGAGCAGACTGCCTCATCTTTCTCTCAAGGAGCGGCTGGCGGGTTCAAACTGTTGACTTTTCGATTAGCAGCTGAGCGCTTAACCACTGCGCCACCAGGGCTCCTTTAAAAGTAAATAAAACTTCAGATTTTTTTTTTTCTGCTCATAGGAGAACATCATTGCAAAAAACTATCACCCCGTCCCCAGACATAACTGCTAATATTATTTATCATATTTCTTTCAAGGAATTTTATATTCATATAACTATACATATAATTTGGAGTCCCTGTATAGTGTAAATGAGTAACGTACTCAGCTGCTAATCAAAAGGTTGAAGGGTCAAGCCCACCCATAAGTGCCTCAAAAGAAAGGCCTGGCAATCAATTTCTGAAAAATCAACAATTGAAAACCCTATGGGGCAGTTCTATTCTGACACACATGGTGTCTCTATCAGTTTATATCTTTAAATCCATTGATAATTTTATTTGGAATTTCTACCATTCCTTTTATGTTCAGAAGGTCTTCCTTTTCAAGAGATCAAAAGATCTCTATCTTCTTCTGCTTTATGGTTTGAGTTTCTACATGCTTGAGTATAATGGTTAAGAATGCTAACTACCTTTTGGTTACTGGCTCCAACACTTAGTAACGGAATGGTCTTGATTAACCTCTTTGAACTTTAGCTTCCTCACCTGTAAACTGGGGATAATAATAGCACCTATCACACATGGGGTTGCCATGAGTCAGAATTGACTCTACGCAGCTGGTTATCACAAGATGGTGTTGTAAGGATTAAATACAATAATGTCTGTAAAGTATTTTTAACAGAGTTTGGTACTTATGAATACTCTATAAATGATAGTCATTATAAATATTGTTATGTATATAGAGTGAGATAAGACTTTAACATGCTTTTTATCCCCCTAAATGGCGAAATACCACCACAAACCAATCCCGTTGCCATGAAGTTGATTCCGACTCATAGCAACCCTACAGGACAGAGTAGGACTGCCCCATAAGGTTTCCAAGGCTGTAATCTTTATGGAAGCAGACTGCCACATGTTTCTCTTACTGAGCCGCTGGTGGGTTCCAACTGCCAACGTTTCGGTTAGCAGGCAAGTGCTTTAACCACTGTGCCACCAAGGTTCCTTAAATGGCTAAATGGCAGTATTTATTTACCAAAAGGTGGGCAGTTTGAATCCACCAAGTGCTCCTTGGAAACCCTGTGAGGCAGTACTACTCTGTCCTTTAGGGTTGCTGTGAGTTGGAATTGACTGGACGGCAATGGGTTTGGTTTTTTTTTTTTTTTTTAAATTGATGAATCTTTCCCTTCCTCATTATACTTGAAGTGATTTCAGCCTGTATTTACATTTTTGTATACTCCAATGCCTGTTTCTGGATTTTCCTTCTGTTTTGTCATTACATTCACACACCTGTAGCACACTGTTTTAAATATTGTAGCTTTATAACATTTAAAAAATCCAGCCCTGGAGGCGCAGTGGTTAACAGCTTGGCTGCTAACCAAAAGGTTGACAGTTCAAATCCACCAGCCACTCCCTGGAAACCCTACAAGGCAGTTCTACTCTGTCCTATAGGGTCCCTGTGAGTTGGAATCCACTTGACAACAATGGGTTTGATTTTTTTGGTTTATAGGTGTAGGACACATTATTCTTTTTAAAAAATGTCATAATTAGTTCCTCATTTCTTTTCCTCACATGGATTTTAGAGTTATGTTATAATTAAACATTTCAGTGGTTATTATAAATGAGAATACAACTCCAAATATACAACTTGACAAATACGGGAAATTTTTTACTTGCATTAGCAATGGAATAAATACAATTTAAAACCTTTAACTTTGATAATATGCTACTTTGCATAAACGAAGAGGTGGTGATATTGGCACACTGGAGATGGAAACATCAGAGTGAGAACTTATTAGTGAATTGAATCCAGATCATAGGTGTTTAGTAATTTTTTTTATGAAAATGGCACCAAAGTCTACTATTTAGTGAGGTGGAAATGATGTAGTGGCCACCCTTATATGTAAGTGTTTCCACACAGTGGACTTTAACGTCTGATATGATGCAAAAGTAGCCTGTATAGACCTTAGGATTTTCCTAAGAACTACTGAGAATCCTGTTAATAGGCCATGAAATTATATCTGATCTTTCTATTTACTGTTATGTTACTTTGGGTTTACTATTGCAATGTTAACATTTTTGTCAACAGCATTATTGCATTTTATGCTACTAATGGAATTAGTCTTTGTTTTAATTACAGTAATATACTTATTTTTAATAACGTTATTAAACTTTTTGTTTATTTTGTGTTTTGTAGTTATTATAGCCATAAATTTATAACGCAGATAACATTATACTTTTCAACAACGAATGGAGTATTTTTATATCTCAACAGTAACAAATTTTGATCTCCCAAATTAATTATAAATGATAAATAACAATATCTGTGAACACTTGAATGTTCTTTAAGAAAGTAGGCCTTTTATTTCTATAATGTTGGGACTTAGGTGCTCTGATAGTGATTGGCAGGACATGAGAAAGAAAAATTTGAGATCTCTTCTAAATTGTACATGTCAATTAAATGCCAGTTGTGTAAAATTATACTGAATATGAAAGAGCATCATAGAATGTATTATAAAGTTCTTAACCTCATTCTTTATAGTCCCTCCTATGAAAATTATAAGGTAAAGAAAACACCATCTAGAAGTTCATGAAATTCAGAGGGTCTTCTTTAGAAGAACTCTATTTGAGGCGATGTCTGCAAAGACTTAGAAATACTTCATGGAATTTTGAGAATTAGGTCAAGGGATGCTTCTGGTGTTGCCCTCATCTTGGAAATTCTGAAACATTTCAGGCATTCAAAAAAGCAGACAGAAGAACATAACAATATTGTATATTCACCGCTCAGCTCAAGTTATCGAGCATTGCAAATATAATTAAAAGGTGTCTTTTTTCTAATAATAAACTTGCCAGTAAAAATACAGGAATTCCTGTCCTTTGATCTCCTTTGTACAGTTTATTACATCTAATATGTTCATTTCCACTCTGTTGCCATAAGGGTGCCAAATGATATAATTGGTGATATCTTCCAAGTACGAATTGCCTCACCCAAAGATGACTAATTCTCAGTAAATGTGTAAATAAATTATAAACAGTGGAGGCAAGATTATTAATGTTTTAATTCACTTGGAACTAAATAACATCTGTCCTGGGCACCAATTTTCAAGGCTCCTTGACTTCTTTTTGAGGAAAATAAATTTTTTCTAAACCAGACAAGAGAGTAAAGAAAAGAACCACCTTACCTGTCGACGCTAAGAGCACAGAGATTGAGGACGGTGATCCCCACTGAGGACTTCTGCAAAAAGGGGAACAGCTTGCAAAGAAATACGCCAAAGTCATTGTAGTCAAAAGGCCAGCGTCCAGCCAGCAGCTGGAAAAAAGGAGACACAGAGGTGAGAAATGGCAGAGCTGGCATGGGATACGTGGACACTTTATTTTCAGTCATGCTTCTAAACGTCTAAGTTTTATTTTTCTTTATGCTTTCCTGTTATTGGAGCAGCAATGGAGTATTATTATATTCTTTGTAATTTAAAACCTCAGCAATTCTTTGGTCTGGAAAGATATTGTGAGTGACAAATATAATCACTTTTCAAAGAGTAACAAAACTTTTGGGTTTTGGGTGACAGCTTAACCAAGAAGCAGTCAGTCATCTCTTATCAATTCTTACTAAGTTGTGAGTAAAGTAAGTCATTTTCAACTGGTGGCATTGGAAGATTACATTATCTCCTGACAAGCAGCTAAAACTATGAGAGGTTATGGGGAATCTGGAAAAATGAAGTGGTTTAGGGTGTACTGATTTTGCCAGGTGGTTAATACCTGAACTACTTTTTCCTTTGACCTATCTTTTCCTTTGTGCTTAAAGGGTTGACTCTGGTTCAGTAGACGTGGTATGAGTTGCCTCTCTTTAGGCACAAACTTCATACAGAAAAACGGGGTTACTATGACCTATTTGTAGCATTTGCAGAAAAATCTATTCTTCCATGATGACAATTTAAAATCTTTGCTCTGGTGGTGCAGCAGTTAAGAGCTCAGCTGCTAACCAAAAGGTCAGCAGTTCAAATCCACCAGCCTCTCCTTGGAAACCGTATGAGGCAGATCTACTCTGTCTTAAAGGGTCACTATAAGTCAGAATCGACTTGACTGCAATGAGTTTGGGTTTTTGTTCAAAGGAAAAGGTGGACGCTGTCTACTGGCTGTGGTAAATAGCAAGAACATAACTACCAACAGTCCCCTTTGGGTTGCTTGTATTTATCTCATTAGGTATTGTGCTAAGAGCATGGGCTTCAAGACTAGCTTAGCTGCCTAAAAGGGTGAGGGCAGTCCCCTGCTGAATATATAATTCCTTTTCAAGAGTAAAAAGAGTATTGATTTTCTTTCTAATTTTTGCTTAATGACTCAGAATTTACTTACTCAACTCAGTAGGAAACGTTATACCACTACCTTGACTTGAACTTGCCTTTTTCTTGCAAAGTGTCTTTTGCCATAATAACTCTGAGTCAAGTTTTGAATTCCCGTTGTACCATTTCTAAAAGATTATGTAAAGTTTTATGTGAGGATTTAGATTTCTAACAAACGTCACGGAGAGTATTATCATCAACATAAGTACATTGAAAGAGGTACTTCATAGAACAAAATCAGAACTTAGGCATTTTGAAAATTTAGTAGCATGGGGTTCTCTGTTGCTCTATTTTCATGGCTAAAACTTTATGTGACTTAGTTTCAGAAGTTCTCTCTTTTCAGTTTTCATCCATATTTTCCTTTCTTTTAAGTAGTTTTCTAAAAGGAACTTTTCCTTCAATCCAACCCTACCTCTGTTCTCTTCTTTGGGTCACTATAACCAGTCTTGGGTGGTGTCTTCTCAGAATTTCAACATAAACTGTTTTCCAAGGACAACCGCAAGGCTCTTCACAGAAACACTGCACTAAGCTTGGACAGTTTCCATGAAGCTAAATAATCTTACCATTGTTGACTATTGGTTATTAACGCTTGATGCAAGTAAAAATATAAAATGCTATTTCTGGGATGAACCACCCTTTCTAAAGATAAGAATACCTAAAAAATGCTTTATATAGAGTGAGAGTTTGGTAGTTGGGTTCCGAAACGTAGTTCTCCACTGAAGAGCACAGAGATGTATTTAAAATGTGTAGGGATTTCTATGAGACGTTGGAATGATTGAGCTGTTACTGTTGGCTCACTCTTCAAGACTAAGAGATTCTGAAATCCACACGGATGGGTTTCCCAATTCACACATCCGACAAGGAGAGGAAGACAAAGGCTGTTTCTTGCTGAATAAATCTGACATCTTGTGAAGATCTAAGTGACAAGTACTAAGAAGATGATCCAGAAAAACCACAACTGAGTATGTACTGTTTCAGCCTCTTCCAATCTCAACTGAAGTTTTTCCTTTTTCAAACTTTCTTAAACTTTTAACAAGGGTTAGGTGTAAAGGAAGGGCAGTAAGGAAAGACTTCATGGAAAAGATGGGCAACAAAATGATCATGGAATTGTCTTTCTTTGGCACTAATGTGTTTTTTTTTGTTATATTTTTCTTTCCTCGGAGTGAGCACTAAGTCTTCTTGGGAATTATAGACAAAGGGGAATGAAAGAAATCATTGGAGGAAATTTTTAGGTATAATCACTGTGTACATTTCCCTTAATTCGCTTTTGAATTATAGTATTGGCAAATAATATCGAATATACCATGGACTGCCAAAAGAATGAACAAATCTGTCATGGAAGAGGTACAGCCAGAAAGCTCCCGAGAGGTAAGGATGGCAAGACTACGTCTCACATACTTTGGACATGTTATCAGGAGGGATCAGTCCCTGGAGAAGGTAAAGTACAGAATCAGTGGAAAAGAGGAAGACCCTCAGTGAGATAGATTGACACAGTGGCTGCCACAATGGACTCAAGCATAACAACGATTGTGAGGATGGCACAGGACCGGGCAGTGTTCCGTTCTGTTGCACATAGGGTTGCTATGAGTCGGAACCGACTTGATGGAACCTAACAACGACAACACACTTCCCTTACCTGCATTTACTTCATTCTGAGGGAATATATGGATGGTAACTGTCCCAATACTGCCAGGGGCAAATTAGGCCCCTGTCTGTAGTCAGTTATTTTCCTTGCCTTGCCTTTCTGGTTAAATGTAGCTTCCTCAGAGAGACTTTCATTAACAACCCAATCTTAAAACAAAACAAAAAAAAAACCTACACCAGTTCCTTTCGAGTTGATTTTGACTCATGGCAACCCTGTGCGTGCCAAGTAGAACAACTCCGTAGGGTTTTCAAGGGCTGTGATCTTTTGGAAGTAGATCATGAGGCCTTTCTTCCAAGACACTTCTGGGTGGATTTGAACCAACAATATTTTAGTTAGTAGCCGAGTGCTTAACCGCTTATACTACCTGGGGATTCTGTACCCAGTCTAAAATAGAACTTACTTATTAATCCCTCTAATAGAGCCAATGTTGGAGCAATCTTAGGTTCAAAGTCTTCTTTTAGTTCACTCTAGTTTAGCAAGAAAACACATGAAAAAGAAAGGGTATCATACTGGCAGAGTGTGTAGCTCACCTCTTTTTCTCCTAGTTAGAAGAGGCATTTTGATGCTTCTGAACGACTATCGGGGATGCATACTTTCCATTACTTACTAACATTTAAAAATGAAAATATAATATATAAAATGGTAAAAAAATGAACTGTACAAAAATTTATATAATGGAAGTAAGTCTCCATCCCGATTGAGGGCCCTAAACTCCCTACCCAAAGGCAAACATTATTAGTTGTGTTTTCTTCCAGAAGACTTCCTATATACATAAAAGCATATCTTTTTTTAAAAAAAATTAAATGGGAACATATGGAAATAATCCCTTTTGACAGTCTATTGTGATTTTTCTTCCCCCTACGGTAATTTTCTAGGAAGCTGTTCTATTGCCTGATTAAAAGGCTTTGGTTTTTGAAAAAACACGCTGGTGGAACAATTTAGATTAGAATAGGAAAAGATAAGTAATTGTTTAGGATAGTATCGGTTGTTGTTGTTAGCTGCCATTGAGTCTGACCCCAACTCATGGCAAACCCTTGCACAATGCAATGAAATGCTGCCCAGTCCTGAGTCATCCCCATGACTGACTGCAAATCAGACTGTTATGATCCATAGGCTTTTCACTGGCTGATTTTCAGAAGTAGATCACCAGGCCTTTCTTCCTAGTCCATCTTAGTCTGGAAGCTCTGCTGAAACCTGTTTAGAATCACAGCAACACATAAGCCTCCACTAACAGACAGGTGGTGGCTGTGCATGAGGTTCATTGGCCGGGAATTAAACCCAGGTCTCTCACATGGAAGGTGAGAATTCTACCACTGTCCCACCACTGCCCCACAAGATAATATCTAGACCATGACAAAAGAACTAGTAGACTTCATTAGTGTTAACAAGCTACTATCAATTCAATGAAAGAAAAATCAAACTAGTTTGACAAAATGATAGGATGAACTGGTTCAAAGGGTTAATCTGGCCACTTGGAGTAGTCATCCCTTAAAAGGTCTAGACTGTGTAACCCTCATATTTATCACCTCCAAGGACATCACACGAGACCCTCACATAGTAGGTGTTGCATCAATTAATGACTACAACTCACTAATATTTTCATATTTTGAAATTAGACTGTACTGATTTTGCCATGAAAACACATTCATCTCCTAATTTATTTTCTATTTAAAAGTTGTTCCTCAGAGTAGCAGGGGTAGGGATTTGGGGACCATGCTTTCAGGGGACATCTAGGTCAAATGGCATAACAAAGATTGTTAAGAAAATGTTCTGCATCCTACTTTGGTGAGTGGCGTCTGGGGTCTTAAAAGCTTGCAAGCAGCTATCTAAGATGCATCAGTTGGTCCCAACCACCTGGAGTAAAGGAGAATGAAGGACACCAAAGACACAAGGAAAGTAGTAGCCCAAGAGACAGAAAGGGCCACATAAACCAGAGACTTCATCAGCCTGAAACAAGAAGAACTAGATGATGCCTGGCTACCACAAATGACTGTCCTGACAGGGAACACAACACAGAGTCCTGGATGGAGCAGGAGAAAGGTGAGGTGCAGAACTC